TTCATGGCGGTTATGGAAAGGGGTAAGGGTATTCTGGAGATACATGTAGACCCAATATAAAATATTTACTTTCATTAATTTAACACATGGTTGTAAATGAATTCTAAATCCCAATTAAAGAGGACTATTTACGAAAACAAAAGCAAATCTTATACATAAAAGTATAGATAACTAAGAATTTTTTTTAAAAATATTAACCCTTGGCTAATTCTACCCCTACACCCCCCTCCCTCCTTCCACACACACACATTTCAAAAAAAATGCTTATATATAACCCCACCCAGCCACCTTACGACTGTAAATGAAAATTACAGTAGCGATATTTTGTTGCATGCAATCAAGGTCAAATATGAAAATGATTTTTTTTTAATTTGTGGACATAAAAGACCAGCAAATGGATGACAGATTACATTAAATTATAAGACCTATGATAAAGGAGCACGGTATTTAGAATAATGCAATGTTGCAAATTTTCAAAATTATATTTCACAATCGCAAGTCTTCAATACCCGTTACATATTTAAATAACTAACATTTTGCATTTTGGAACCTTTTGGCTTTCCATAACTATTGTGTGCACGTGTTACAGTATACTGCATTGCTCTAGTGAAATATCATTTATTTATATTACCTTGTCACATGTGTAAGCTGTCTATGCGGAATATATGTAGTATAAATAAACATTTTCCCCAAGGAAACATTTCTAAATTTTAAATTGCCGGTCCCTGGGGACTTTGTGTTTATTGCCTTTCAGTAATATCCCCATCCTCGCAAGCCAGGGGTCCTGAGTCAACACGTTGCCGTTGTCCAACGGCAACGTGTTGACTCAGGACCCCTGGCTTGCGAGGATGTAATATCCCCGATATCACTTAATTGAATGAGTAATATCACTTATTTAAACGGTAACACAAAAAATGAAATGATCAGTGATTTCGCCCACTTTTAGCTCACCTCAACGAAGTTGGGGGGGGGGGGGGTTGTAGGGATGGGTATCGCAATTTTTTTTTTACAATTCCTTCAATTGTTATTCAAGAGTTGGAACAAAAAAAGATATTTTTGGTATTGTTAATTACGTACTTAATACCGATATTTAAGTCTCCGTATCACGATACGTATCGTTACCCATTGTGTAATTAAAAAAAAATCACGATGTACCGGTATACCTAAAAGCGCACATTCCTAAGAGCTTGTGTAATACCCTCGGCGTCGATGTCGGCGTCCCAGGTTAAAGTTTTTGGAGCAGATTTCTTTTCAAGTACTTATATTTCCTATAATAATCAGTGATGCATGGAAGATGCTTCTAGTATGGTTCATTGTAGCGATATGACCGGTTAAAGTTTTTGGAGCAGGTCTCATTTCCAAGTAACTATAAGCCCTATGTTGACCAAACTTGCATCGGTGATACATCTAAGGATGCACACTACTGGACTCGCTTCTGATGCTGGATCTGACCTACATTTTCCAGATGAGTGACCAGGTTAAAGTTTTTGGAGCAGGTCTCATTTCCAAGTAACTATAAATCCTGTGTTGACCAAACTTGCATGGATGATACACCTAAGGATGCACACTACTGGACTTGCTTCAGATGCTGGATCTGACCTACATTTTCCGGATGAGTGAACAGGTTAAAGTTTTTGGAGCAGGTTCATTCTAAAGTAACTATAAGCCCCATGTTGACCAAACTTGCATACATCTAAGGGTGCACACTACCAGGCTTGCTCCGGATGCTGGATATACATTTTCCAGATAATGGACCAGGTTTATGTTTTGGGTGCAAGTCTATTACAAAGAGACTATAAGGCCTTTCTGAACCAAACTTGCATGGATGATACATCTAAGGATGCACACAACTGGACTTGCATCAGATGCTGGATCTGACTTACATTTTCTGGATGAGTGACTATTTTCAATTTTTTAGATACGTCCATTACCTTGCATGTAACTGCAATCCCTATCAGACCAAAATTGATGAATGTTGCATACACTATGCTAGATTATTAGTTAAGCGTGAGACTTTGCCTTACTTAAAGACAACATTCATTGAGGTGAGCTCTGTAATCTCTGATTATCTATGTAAATTTTTTATATCACTAATTCAAAAATAGCAATAGATATCGCCAATTCTGATAGATTGAATCTCCTTTTCGGCAGCATTATTATAGAGCATGCGAAATCAACAGATCCATTCATATTAGAATTAATGACTGCCCCCTTGATCACAGACTGGCAAGTACATGAATTGGTTTTTCGCCCATTTCATTTATGTCCATAAACATAATATACAAACGTGTATGCTTATAAAATATTAATCTCAGAAACTTGCCTAGAACCTGCATTACAGCTCCTAATTTCATCCAACCGTGTAGAATTTTCCTTTTGAAGTAGTATGATTTCTTTCAGATATATATCGTGGTTCAAGAACAATGATACATTTATGAGACTACTCGTAACAGGGCTTGTCTATAGTGTTTATTTTAAAAAAAGCCACACATGAAATTACAGTAAAAGACGCCTATAGCAAAGTGCCAGTGACGACCAATTTTTATTCGTTATCATTAAAATATCCGTTGAGTTCATTTGTTTTCCTTTCGCTCTAAGTTTGAACTCATTATAAGCTAAAGTGTACGCTGTAACAATGTTCTACTGTGTCATAACATTACTTAAACATTGCTGTGAACTTTTTCCTTACTTGTTTTTCAAGACAAACACGACTAACTCTTAGACCATAAAAATATTTTCAATATAATATTGAAAAAAATATCATAAAGAGATCTAGAGTATTCGCTATAAAAATGCAATAGAGGCAAAAGGCGACTTCAGCACGGAGATTTCATATTAACACTCTAATGATTAAGGAATATCACTAACGTTACCATATGAAAGGCATCACCAATAGTTAAAGGGAAGCTTTTTCAAGATATAGGTTTTCCTTGCGTTATTGGCATTCTTGGGGGAAAAATTCCGATGGCTTCAGCACTTTAAGGGGAAGAAGGACCTTTAGCTGAAAAAATACTTGTCATTCAATTTTTTTGATATTTTGTATACTTCTAATCAAGCATGTCCTACATATCTTAAAGCTGTTACATCATTAGGTTTCTGACCATATTTTCGAGATATTAATTGACAAATACTTATGTCCTGCTGTATCTAAGTGGAGTTTTAATTCTCCATGTTTCCGGGCTCATCACTCTGTCCATAATGGGATTTTTTAAGCATTTATAAAAAAAAATATGTAAGTGGACATGTATCTTTTAAAATATTTCAGAGAAAGAATAGGGTTTAAAATTCAAAAAAGCAAGTTTCTTCTATCACACTGCATCTGGATAGGGAAAATTACGTACTTTTTAAGACAACTTAAACAACAAAAAACGTATTTTACCAAAAATTCTATCATTCAATATTTTTGAATTTACGTTGAAATGCAAGTCCTTCAAATTATTGATTAACTGTAAAAATTTCGAATGGTGAAGCTGACCTAAATATTGCACAGGACATCGTAAAAGAGGGCACAAGCAGGACAAAAAGGTGTCATGTTTGCATTTTTCGAGTACGGGAAAAACCAACTATGACGTCACACGTAAGCTAAATATGCGAAATAAGATAAACCTACATAAGATTTTTGCCATCAGCCATGCAAACATAATTTTTGTGTTCACCGTTTCTTAAAATATTTCATCATATACTGGTTATGACCTGTTTTTACATAATAATACCACCCCTGTATTCACCGAGTATGATCTTGCTGTACTAACAGATCGTGTATGACGTCACCGACTTGTTGGACGTGCAGTGTAGGGAAACAGAGGAGTGGATCAGTCTTTTTCATAATTTGTTAATGTTTACAAGAATGAAAATTTTTTTTAAAGAAACGGAGACTATGACGTGACCATGTGTCCTTCATCCCCTTAACATTCGACAAACCTCGGCTGATTCCGTCACCTTCGATGAGGTACGAATCGGCCGAGGTGTGCCGAGTGATCCCCTGAAGGCAAACGACAACATAACTTCCGGTGTAAAATAGCATACATCGTCAAGCAATTTCAGTTGGAGAGGGGGAACAAAAAAAAAGGTCATCAGACATTATTCGAGAGGTATAACCGTAAATTAGCTGTTTTCCAATGTATAGTATATACTGAGTAACCTATTGAGGGGGACAATTGTTAATTAGCTTTGTGTTCTATAGTTAAGTATTGATTAATTTATTAATGGAGCACACACATATACGCCCACCCCCCACCCCTTTGTTCCAACTGGTCTGAATTTTGTGTTTTATCCGCAGTGACCTACAATAAGTTTTAATTGTCACATCATCTGTTTTGAAACTAAGCTAGCTTTGTTTTGAGAAGAAGTCGTCCATGCAATTAGAAATAAAAAAAAAAACGTCAACAAAAACTTGATGCATTCAGCTGAGAGTACTTGAAATGTTAATCCCACCTTTTTCCTTTCTATTTTCTACTAATTTTTATCCCAGAGAACAATTCAATAGCCAGAGGAAATCCATCTTCGCTAGACAAGTGTCCGATTTGTTTACCCTAGCGAAGATGGAGGAAATCTAAATAAAACTAAAAGAATCATGAATGTAGAATTATCCGAAACCGCGGCTTTGCGCCGAATAATGCTATTTTTGCACAGCTACAAATATTTTTTTTTTTTATTTGATAATAATATTTAGCCTTTTTATTGAGTTATCTTCCAGAAAAGTTTTTATTAAGAGAGAAGGAGGTCGGATAGAATTTCGGATTGGAGTAATTCCACCATCCTTTGATGTTTCATACAGTGATTTTTTTTTTTTTACCGGGAAATGTAGTATTTAAAAAAATCCCAAATTTGTATTTAATCTCTGAAAATGAGTAAATTTTCAATTATTATTAGTCAACAATACATTTAAGTGTCACACAGAAAGCTAGTGGGTTAAGCGAGAAAATATCGAACGTCGTTCTTACATGCCTGTTTTTGTTCTGTCAAATTGATCTTTCTTTATGGCATATTTTTTTATCCAGATATGGCAGAATCATCCCAATCACGTGGCCATGTTCTGATAACGGGAGGAGCGGGATACCTAGGATCTACGCTTGTCCCTATCCTATTGGAGCAGGGTTATGAGGTCACGATTTACGATATCTTTTTCTGGGGACCTACCTCCATGATTTCATTCGCAGCCAACCCAAGGTTCCACATCGTCCGCGGTGACATCCGAGACAAACAGTTGCTCGCCGAACACATGCATGACAAAGATGCCATTATTCATCTAGCAGCCATCGTGGGATACCCTGCTTGTGACAAAGACCCGGATTTAGCTATTGACACAAATGTCATTGGGACGAGAAATATCGCCGAACTTAAAACACCGAATCAAAAACTTATCTACGCGAGTACAGGGTCTTGTTATGGAGCAGTGGACGGAATCTGCACGGAGGAGACACAAATCAGTCCCCTAACTCTGTACGGAAGCAGTAAAGCTGATGCCGAAAAAATGGTTCTGGCTGCGAGTGGAGTTGCCCTGCGTCTGGCCACTGTGTTTGGGCTTTCACCTCGACTACGTCTTGACCTTCTCATCAACGATCTTACGTACAAGGCCCTCACCCTGAAAGAATTTGACTTGTATGAAGGATCTTTCAGACGCACATTTTTGCACGTGAAAGATGCTGCGCGTGCTTTTGCATTTGCATTGAACAATTACGAAAAAATGAAAGGCGAGGCCTTTAATGTAGGCGACGAAGCCATGAATATGACCAAATCTCGTGTAGCTCAGCTTATTCAGGAACACGTGAAGGGGTGCGTAATTACGGAGTCCAAATCGGGCGAAGACAAGGACAAGAGAGATTACGAGGTCTCCTACCAGAAGATCCGGAAGCTGGGCTTCGGCTCCTCCATCTCTGTAGAGGAGGGAATACGAGATATGTTAAAGATCCTGCCGCACATTGAAACTACAGATGTCTGCAAATTCAAAAATGTGTGAACAAAACTGTAAGTACACGGAGGACGAAATAAGCTGTTCATAACCACAATACTCCTAGGGTTACTTATGTAAAAGTGAAACCAGAGACAACAATAATAATGCTATTTATGTCTCTGGTTTAACCATCAGATGGTCTGCCTTTTTTATTCCATTTTTTATATAGATTTTTAATCAATTTTTTTCTTGTACATAATTTAAGACTTTATTAAATTCGTTCGCTTAGCTGAAGTTATATAAGGAAAGCTTACAATGTGTACATGTACCGACTTTTTCCCTTGAAGAGCTAATCTTGAAAATCTTCGGTAAATTGATGTCCACTCATCAGTATTTTTTTTCCTTGGTGTGCACTGTGTCTTTTTGGAGTAAATAAAGAATTTTTTCCCTCTACACTTGTGTTTGTTCCGTTTTAATCATCGCAAATATTTTCTTTGCGTTCTTTTTTCATATTCCTATTTTGTGTGTGTGTGTGTATTACACTTTTTCATGAAAAATATAATTTTTCTAAGGGAAAGTTTTCATTTAAAAAGTTTGGTATGGCAGTATTATCTGTGATTAAATTTTGTCCCAATAATCATATGATCCAAGTTCTTTATTTCTTTGCGTCATACAACACATCAGATTACATATAGTAATAACTAAACATACATACAATATTATAAAATTTACCAATATGAGAGTGAGCATAATCAATAAATAGCAAGTAAACTGTGTAGGACGTGTTTGAACAGGCAACTGTAATTATGAAACACTAAATAATTACAAATGTTTTATTCTTCTTATGGAAGCTTAATATAAATATTTTCCAAGATTACAAAGTTCCTTTATATTTTGTACACTTAACACTGGATTTCATATAATAATACTTTTTCAAATACTTCGATCTAAGGTCATGATAAAAAGGACACTGTAAAATAAAATGAAATTCGTCTTCGATAACATTCAAAGAGCACATTTTACATAATCTATTTTTCCTAAATTCATTAACATATCTACCAGTTTCAACATTTGTGTCCCTTTTAATTTTAAGAAATATTTTATAATTTTTAATTTTCTAGATTCCCTCAGAGGCATTCTTCCGAGTTTGAAATACACAAGATTGTTACAGGCACTATTTTTTAAAAGAAGTAACTTTTTACAAAAGAGACTATGTATTTTTTGCTACATCTGGAGCTTTATGAAATCCCCACATCTCTGCTCCATAATTAAGAATACTACATACATATATACATATAATTACTCGGTATATATATACATGTTATTACTCGGTATATATATACATGTTATTACTCGGTATATATATACATGTAATTACTCGGTATATATATACATGTAATTACTCGGTATATATATACATGTTATTACTCGGTATATATATATACATGTTATTACTCGGTATATATATATACATGTTATTACTCGGTATATATATATACATGTAATTACTCGGTATGTATATACATGTAATTACTCGGTATATATATACATGTAATTACTCGGTATATATAAACATGTTATTACTCGGTATATATATACATGTTATTACTCGGTATGTATATACATGTAATTACTCGGTATATATATACATGTTATTACTTGGTATATATATATATACATGTTATTACTCGGTATATATATACATGTCATTACTCGGTATATATATATATATACATGTAATTACTCGGTATGTATATATACATGTAATTACTCGGTATATATATACATGTCATTACTCGGTATATATATATACATGTAATTACTCGGTATGTATATATACATGTAATTACTCGGTATATATATATACATGTCATTACTCGGTATGTATATACATGTAATTACTCGGTATATATATACATGTTATTACTCGGTATACAGTGGAGAGGAGGTAAAACTGTCACTCAGGTCAGGCTGTCTCAGTCTGAACAGACTTTGGATGAAATTGTAGGAATAGGTTATTTATAAAATATGCCAAAGACATTAATTATTCTAATTAAAGTTAGATGTTAGATCCGGTCGCATATTTGCTCAATGGTTTTGATTCCACATTCCATGGTAAAAAAAAAAGGGGGGGGGGATTCGCCGTGAGATAAGTAATAAATATTTAGACTGCAGAAGTATCAAATGCAAGATGTAAATGCAGGATCACTGTAACATTTAAAATAAAAAAAGAGAGATAACTCTGTAGACAATATGCTATTTCTGAGACCTGCAAGAAAATACAAGTCTCTAAAAAAACATTCTTAGTATTTTTGTTGTTGTGTTTACTTAAAAAATATGCCAGAAGAAAAATGCTGTTGTACAAGCATTTTATGAAACGTTTACTTAATTTAAAATAGAAAAATGTTAGTGCGCCAATATAAAAAAAAAATGAGCATTAAAAAATTCTGTGGTAAGGAATTTGCGACTTTTGTAAAATATATCAAAATGAACTGAATAAATTCAGTCCAATAGTGAAGTATTTCTACCTTTTAAGTTCTCCTTTTTTCTCCTTTCTCAAGAAAATTGGCTTACTCTGTTAAAGGTAGTGAAAAATAAAATTATTGCCATTTTTATCAGAAAGGAATAGGAATAATTATGTTTTGTACCAACCCTAATGTTTATACTGAGTTGAGGATCTTACACTTCTTGGAATATGCACCAAAGAATAGTTATCATGGCCGTGTTTGTGAGGAAATACAGCATATAACTGCATAAAAATATATTACGTTACAAGATATACATTTACAGAGAGTTCTAGTATTTTGCTTTTAAAAAAAGGGGAAAAAAATGTCAATGTGTGATTCTGAAGGAAGTTCTAGGTTATCGTTTAACTATTTCCTGTAGTTGACACTGGACAGATTTTGTTATAATGAATTACTCATTACCATTTTACGAAGTCTTGTATTTTTTTTTTATATATTCCTTCATACTCGCAGAGATAGACATGAAGGAGATTCAAGATTGACATTTGCTGGTAACTAGGTAATATTAAATTTTCGTATAAAGTTTTATAATTATGACCAGTGATTATAAATAGCCCTGTGTTGATAGTAATCACAAAAAGCAGGAAGACAATATTATTACATCTCTCGAATTTTATTCTGAATAAATTCGAATCGTAAACAAGCTATGTAAAATACCATCCTCGTGCGGAAAATATAATACTAGTCACTTCACAATTGTAGCTTAATTCTTGCAAAAAATAAATTCCATGCATTTCAGGATAAATAACACAACAAACTTTTTTCAGAAATTTTCATCAATATTTCTTGCAGATTTATATTTAAATTGGTAACCTGAATAATGTTTGCCAGGTAAACTGAAAGAAGTTTGTAAGATTTTGTCATAAGGTTAAAAAGTTGTGTAAAATTTTGTATAGAATTATATAGAAAGATAAACAAAGTCGCATATCTAAGCACCAAAGAAAACTTACGATTTCTTTATATTTTAGGGATTTATTATTTATCTCATTTCTAATCAAAATCACTCAAAAAACATATATCAATCCATGCATCAAATTTTTGTTTGTGTTATGTGTCCTTAACACTTATCATTCTTTGTTAAGGATTCCATCCAAAGATTTTAAAGTTGACTCAACTGTTATTGTAAATGTTACAGTGCTTGATTCATATATAATACAGAGAACAAATTTGATATCAGCAAGGATTAAGATTTAATTTCTACTCTTCAAATGTTATTTTGACTTTGTGATATTATACTTTCAGGTAAATTAGTTGAATCTGATTCGTCGAGGAACATTTGTTAAAAAAACACTATTTCCCGCTGAATAATGAAGCCACGCCCTCCAGCGTAGCAACAGTTAACATTGCTTGACGACGGGTGTTATTCCAAAAAATATTGACTGCGCAGAATTCATGCGCGCAAGGTTCACTGTAATATGTATTTGTATAAAACATTCAGTATAATATAATAAATACTGCATGTAGTTGAGTGTAACATTGAAAATTTTCACCCCTCGAAAACAATTATCAACCTCGGCTGCGCCTCGGCTGACAATGGTTTTCTTGGGGTGAAAATTTTCAATGTTACACTCAACTACATGCAGTATTTATATAATATTAATCTGATCAATATCCCTCCGTTACATTTATCACGTGTGTGGGTTATTTAACTTATTTTACCTCCATAGGCGTAGTCACAGGAAGTGCATCTTTTTGTCAACATTTTTGATCGGAATAGTTGTAAGAGGCCCATGGGCCACAACGCTCACATTTGTCACTTTGGCCCTACTGGTCTTCATCAGCAGATTTTTTGACTCCATATTGTGGACCGAAATCTTGCCATAAGCGAACTATTATTTGATGAAAGTTGAATCCACACAACATTTGGATGCTTTGATATCAATGCCATCAACATGGTTTTGCTGTTCTGGAGAAACAAAATTCCCAGTACACATGCATTATGTAAAACTTAGATCTCTGATATCGGCCCAACTCCAACACTAGGGCTTATAATAAAAAACGATTCCACACAAGTTAGGTATGTTTTAAATTTGCTCTTGAAAAGATTTCTTCCTATTTACTTCCTTTAGTCCGTTGTATAAATTCTGATCATCTTTTATTGCTTCAACCTATTCCAAATGTCCTGATCTGTACAAATTTAAATCTAAACTATCTAAGGATGTTTCCTTAAATCAATATGACTAATCATGAATTTGCCTTCAACAGAGAAAGAATATTAAAGATGTTTCCTATCATCCAATGTGAATCTTTGATCACCCATTGTGGCCCCGTCCTACCCTCGGGGTCATAATTCGAAAACAAAACTTAAATCTACATGTTGTAATGAAGCTTCCACTAAAGTTTCACCTTTCCGGCCAAATGGTTCTCGATGAGATTTTTAAAAGATGCCATTAAATTTTCACAAATTCTTATTTTTCTATCCTTGAAAGCGGGTGAAGCGCTTCATATGAAAAAAAAAAACTGTCATCTTCTTTACCCAAGGATGCTTTGTGACAAGTTTGATTGAAATTGGACGAGTGGTTCTTGGGCTATTGGTACTTTGCGGAACGAAACGGAACGGAACGAAACCAGTTGTGGGGTACCTTGTGGGGGAAATAAAAATGAATGTAAAACTAAAAAAAATAAATAATGTTATTTAATTAACATAAATTACTCCACAGTGTCAAGTAGCGAGCTGTAAAATAAAATGCCTGTAAGCTAGTTAAAGCATTAATTTTTGCTGACATCTCTACTTACTATGTAAACAGTATTGAATGATTGATATTCATCTATTAATGATGCATTCCTATCCAAATTTACCGTCAAGAACTTCGGTACATCGTTTATTTTGTTTACTGACAAGTCTGTATAGTAAAGAGAGTCGTCGAATTATACCGCAGCATGACATGATTTTCTGGTTCCGTTCCGTTCCGCTAAATACCAATATCC